ATGAATAAAAAGTTAAAAAGAAGAGCATTTATTTAAAATAGAAATATTTTTCTTACCGTTCAAAAGTTTAAAACTTTTATTCAGCAAGGATGTGTTAAATTGATCAGAAGTGATAGCAAAGATTTAAAGTGTTAGAAAAGAATTATATTCTGAATAAATGCTGTTCTTTTTAACTTTTTATTCATCAAAGAATCCTGAAAAAAAGTATTGCAGTTTCCCAAAAAATATTTGGCAGCACAACTGTTGATAATAAATCAGCATATTATACTGATTTCTAAAGGATCATGTGACACTGAAGACTGGAGTAATGATGCTGAAAATACAGTGTTGCCACCACAGGAATAAACTGAATTTTAAAATATATTAAAATAGAAAAGAGTTATTTTAAATGGTAATAACATTTCACAAAATTGCTCTGTATTTTTATAATCAGTATGAGTTTAAAAGACTTTTCAAAATCGTACCGACCCTAGACTTTTGGATTGTAGTGTATATAGCAATATAGGATCTGTTTTCTGCAGTTATACAGTGCTGTCCTTGACTGCAATAATTATTCATTAATATCTGACCCCTAAATGCTGCAAACGGCCAATCAGAATCAAGCATTCCACCGAGCTGTCAAATAAGATAAGTGTAATTTACTGGTGTTATAAAAAACACGCACTAATTTATTTATTTGTCATGTGTGCAGTTCTTGTACATCCTATAGCAACACAACAAAAAGCAAGCTATGACTAAATTATTAAAGATCAACCTTTAAAGTGTACAGCTGCCTTAGCCATTACTAACACACCAAGACACAAGAGTAATTTCCTTTCAATGTTACTAGTACCAGTGCATAAATTCTAAATGGGGATCATGATCCCTGCGCCGAATATATATACAAATGTTTTGTCTGTTGACCCAGAATTGTGTGAGAATGGTGCTCTGTGCTTTTCTGTTAAACATATTTCAGAACATAGTACCTCAGGGAGACGCAATAGTTCTGACCGTCTGTAAGCCAATTCTAAAAGTGATTAAAACATAGACATAACAACTAATCCCAAGAGGCAGAAAAAGCATCAAGTATTTCAGCAGGGACTACTGACATTTTCACAGCATTTAAACTGGAGGGGCTGTTAGAGAGACGGAGCTGCAGGGATGGGGTGATGAACGAGGTGGATGATGTACAGAGAGGTTACAACTGTTATTTTCTCTCAAGAGACGTGAGTCATTATCTCCACCAGCGCCTGAGAGAGATGATTATTCACGGCTGATCGCAGGACTGTCTGGAGCGGATCACAGTGAAAAAAAGTATTGCAGTTTCCCAAAAAATATTTGGCAGCACAACTGTTGATAATAAATCAGCATATTATACTGATTTCTAAAGGATCATGTGACACTGAAGACTGGAGTAATGATGCTGAAAATACAGTGTTGCCACCACAGGAATAAACTGAATTTTAAAATATATTAAAATAGAAAAGAGTTATTTTAAATGGTAATAACATTTCACAAAATTACTGTTTTGCTGCATAGTCAAATAAATGCAACCTGGGCGAACATAAGAGACTTCTTTCAAAAACATTTTTAAAAAAAATTCTTACTGACCCTAACCTAACCGTTGTGTAACTATGTTTATCAGGGACACACACTTTAAAAATAATGGCTTTTATCACTAAAGACTAAGAGTACTACATTCGTATTAGTAACCAGAGTCATAATGAAATCAGTCACGAAGGGTGGCTGTGGAACTTTGTGAATGTTGGTCGTACCTATTCTGTGCAAATAAGACTTTTCTAAGGGCACTTATGAAATTTCATGACTGTTAGGTTGCTGCCTAAGAAGATGGCATCCTATGTAGGGAGCAGGCAGCATGGCAGTTCACTAGGTTTTGGAAGAAAGCTGAGGAGTCAATGTAAATCCACACTGTGAGCAGGAAACAACTACATTCAAAACGGCTGGAAAACGAAACAAAGAAACGTGAGATTTATGTAGGGCATCAACTGGAGATTTCTCAGATTCTACATTTAATTTTACAATCTGTAACAAACCCAAGATATTCTCACATTCCCTTTTCCATCCCTATAGTTCTGCCAACACCTCTACATATCAATTTCATTCATTCAATATGTGTCCCTGCAGAACAAAAGCAGTGTTAAGTCGCTGGGGGATATTTGTAGCAATAGCCAACAATACATTGTATGGGTCAAAATTATAGATTTTTCTTTTATGCCAAAAATCATTAGGATATTAAGCAAAGATCATGTTCCATGAAAATATTTAGTAAATTTCCTACCGTAAATATATCAAAACTTCATTTTTGATTAGTAATATGCATTGCTAAGAACTTCATTTGGACATCTTTAAAGGCGATTTTCTCAATATTTAGATTTTTTCCCCCTGCATAGCCCAGATCCTTAAGTCTCCTTCCATACAAGCATAAAACGCATATCGATAAATAAAGTGCACACTTGATTCCACCAACAAGTCGATGGAAAAAAATGCTACGCCATACCCATAAACCCACTAAAGCCAAACTCCTTTGTGGTCATCTGAAATGATAAATGATCGTCTGTAGTATCAGACAAAGTCCACAGCGCTTGTCTGCCCCTAGAGGGTGCTCACGCTCCAGCGAAACGGGGCCAAAACAGGTGACATAATCATTTAAATCAAGCACACTGCCATCGACTACACCGCCTGCCCTTGATCTCCATTCATTCATCTATTAGGGTGGAAGTGGTTGTATCACAATAGATTATTTTGCATGCTTAATTGCATAATAAATTCTTTATTTGCGTCGTAAATGTCCCTATGCTTTTTTTTTTTTACCCAAAACCCCACAGGACTATGAATATCCTTTTGTGCGGGATCACAGCGTATTAACTAATAGTAGACAACAACACTAATAACTCGTGTGAGGAATGCAGCAGGCTATTGCCCGAATCACGTTGCCTTGACAACAGACGTGAGAGTGTCTCCCCCCCTGAATAAAGAGGAAAAGAAGGAGGCAAAGACCACCGAGAGAAAGAGAGAGAAATGACCGCAGTGTATTAAAGCAAAGGGATGACAAGAAAAAGAAAGTAAAGCAAGAGAGGAGGGGGATGAGAGGATGATGTCATTCTTTTTCCTCACCAGTGAAGCAGACTTGATGGTGGTGAAGCGCTCACGGTTTTTATAGTTATGAGCCTGAGCTCTTTCCGACGAGGACGGTCGCAGGTCCGAGCGGTGGTCCCGATGAGGAAGGTCATCACGGATAAACTGATGATCCTGAGGACAAAAAGCACATCAAAACATACTCTCTTCAAGCTATACATTTGAGTTTTACCACAAATTATTCAGACACCAGATTTCATTTTTTTACTAGTGGGTGCAGGACACTTTATGTAATAATTAATTTATCATTTATGCATTTAGCAGACGCTTTTATCCAAAGCAACTTACAGTGCATTCAGGCTATACATTTGTTTACCAGTAAGTGAGGATAGCAAAATAAAGTGAACTGAAACACATTATACCCAAAAATACTTCATACAGTGGACTACCAGTAAAATTTGGGACCAAAAATTATTTAGACACTTTGACCTGACCATGCTTCTCTAACTGCTAATGGAGCTTTTTCACGTTTCCGTGTTTCTCAGCAGCGGACGTCGTCGTAGTTGTGTTAACTTCGAGAGCGGTGAATGGGAGAGTACCACAGATATACATTTTTTGCATTCCCAGTTGCTCAAATAGCAAAAGAAAATCTCCACGATAGTGTTTTCATGACTTTCAATAAAAGGAAAAAAATTGAGAGACTGATAACGGCAGTCAGAAGAGAGAGCGATGTCAAATTTACCGTCCCTCCCATAGACGCTGCATTTGAAACACCCTTGCATTAGCGTTAACTAGTTTTTTTGTCATTTGATGCAAAGAATAGAGTTATAAATATACATACATAAAAAAAACTTTCGAGGATTTACGATGCTGATGACCGTTGAAACGCGTCATCACAGTCTTGTGAGAAGGGTCCATGTGAGCTTTTTAGACCACAGACTGAACTAAATTAAGCATTGCTTGGTAATTAGTTAAGCTAAATTGGTTTTATCTAATTGTGTACTTGCATTTAACAGCTGACAGCTATTCAACCGAATTCATTACATACCTTTCTATCAAAGTTACCTGATATTATCAAGATGAATATGTTCTGACACAGTTTAACTCTGAGTTCTGGTCATATTTTATTACCGTTTAATTGCGAATAAACTGTGATAATGTGAGAAACGTTGAAGGTGTTTGAATACATTCTGGCTTGACTGTAGGATCAGCGGAGACGTTTCTAAACGACACTGTTCAACACTAACAAGCTCACGATCTTAAAATATCTTCATTAATCGCAATTTATGTAATTTACTTGAGGACGAAAAGTTTCAATCAATCACGTGTGGGAAAGTGGATCTGAACTTCTAAAATCGCACACTTTTTAGAGAATGTAAAAAGCACTAGAGGAAAAACTAAATAAATAAAATCAAATTTTTCTTAAAAAGCTGGTTGGCTGTGCTTGTGTGTAGGGACTCCGTCTGACAATTATAACAACAATAACAATTATTATTAATCATTATCAAAGAAAAATACTGCAAAGGAGATATTACTAATGTGATATTTAAGAAAAAATTACAATACAAATATTTTACAGTACAACTGTAAAATTACAATGTTAACATTTATGAATGTTCATATATTTATTCAATTAAATCTCAGACTTTGTGATTTGTTGTCAAATGTCAATGACTTTTGAACCCTTTGAATATGACTAACAACAACCGCAAAATTAATTTACCCGAGTGTTGTTAGACAAGCAAAATTTAACCACAAACAACATTTTTAGTCCCTATAGGGTTGGGTACCGAGCTCGGTACTTTTAAGGGTACCGACCGAATTGCGTCGGTACTACAGAGTGCCGATTCACATTAAATCATTCGGTGCCAAATTTCGGTACCTGAGAACGCATCTGGGCGCATACCTTTGTGATTTGTTGTCAAATGTCAATGACTTTTGAACCCTTTGAATATGACTAACAACAACCGCAAAATTTATTTACCCGAGTGTTGTTAGACAAGCAAAATTGAACCACAAACAACATTTTTAGTCCCTATAGGGTTGGGTACCGAGCTCGGTACTTTTAAGGGTACCGACCGAATTGCGTCGGTACTACAGAGTGCCGATTCACATTAAATCATTCGGTGCCAAATTTCGGTACCTGAGAACGCATCTGGGCGCATACGCTAAAGAGAGAGAGAGCCTGTGACGTGATGTAACCCCTGCAACTCGTTCAAACAACACACAGGGCGAGCCGAAATGTTGTGAAGTGTGGTTACATTTCTAGGGCCATATGGGCCGATTCACATTAAATCATTCGGTGCCAAATTTCGGTACCTGAGAACGCATCTGGGCGCATACGCTAAAGAGAGAGAGAGCCTGTGACGTGATGTAACCCCTGCAACTCGTTCAAACACCACACAGGGCGAGCCGAAATGTTGTGAAGTGTGGTTACATTTCTAGGGCCATATGGTTCCTGTGAAAACGCGGATGGGATCGCGGAGTCCATTCGTAAACACGTAATTTACTCTATAGCGCGGAATGCCACGGAATTCGTCAATTGTGGACGAATGAATCAAAAGTAGCCACTGCCACTTAATTCGAATCGCGATATGAACTAGTGTCTGTGAATATTAAAATGCAAAAAGACGTTTAAATGTAAATGTAAAAAATAATATAAAATTTAAGTTTAAATATGAGTCCTGCATGTTACGCTTGCCTCTGTATGTATGAATGGTGGAAACACTGTTTTGTTTACTACACAAATACTGAAGCACGCGTGACGCTCGCGGTGATTTCCGGCCTCTGCGTCTCACTATACGACGGCATGAACACAAAAACGTAATCTCCAGAGCTGCTGTGAGAGTCACTTCGCGAGATTTTTACCGTTTCATTTAAGAAAACTAGCATCATCATACTGTATACACACATAAACTTCATGGCAACCTGTCAAAATAAAGTACGGTTTAACATGTAACAGAAATATATTACTCTTGTATTACTTTTGTACAGTATAATGTACATCTTTAAATATTCCATTTTCTATAAAATTTAAATAAAACAATTAAATGGTAAAAAAATAAATATTACAACCAGATTAATCACTTAATTGTAGAAAAAAATAATACAATGATTAGCCTATTAAAAATGATTAAAAGGAATATTCACAGTTTTTCTTCCTTTAATTTTTATTTGAGTTAAAATAAAGGTTTAATTTCTGAGGGGGGAAAAAAAAGAAAGAAAGAAAGAAAAAAAAAGTTTGTAGGGCCCTATTGTTCAAAATGTTGAAATTGAGACTTTTGGACTTATTTTTTCACTGAAATAAATGTTTTTGTAATTACACAGAGAGTAAAGTACCGAAAAAAGGTACTGACACCGAAATTCAGGTACCGATACCGGTTAAAATGTGAACGGTACCCAACCCTAAATATAGTACGTACTAGCTATACAGCATACAGTAGTCTCAAGCACAAGTTTGCATATTTGGTGGAGAGGAGCGCCACTGAACTTTTTCATCTTCAATCTAATAATAACTTTAAGTATAACTTCTCTGTGGCCTGAAAGACTGTGTGTGTACCATTAAAACTCTAACAAGCCAGCCTTCTGAGAATTAAAGAGCTTGACTGAGAGAGAAAATCATAGGAATTGACTTCCAGGAACAGACTGGAAAGCATATGTGACCCTGCAGCACAAAAGCAGTGTTAAGTCGCTGGGGTATATTTGTAGCAATATCCAAAAATACACTGTATGTGTCACAATTATACATTTTTCTTTTATGCCAAAAATCATTAGGATATTAAGTAAAGATCATGTTCCATGAAGATATGTTGTAAATGTCCTACCGTAAATGTAATTTTTGATTAGTAATATGCATTGCTAAGAATGTCATTTAGACTACTTTACAGATGATTTTCTCAATATTTAGATGTTTTTGCACCCTCAGATTCCAGATTTTCAAATAGTTGTATCTCAGCCAAATATTGTCCTCCTATCCAAACAAACCATACGTCAATGGAAAGCTTATTCATTTAAATCTCAATTCCACAAAAGTGACCCTTATGGTTTTGTGCTCCAGGGTCACATATGTTCTATTTTTGGTCGTCAGCATCAATGCACGTATGCCAAGCATTTAAATGAAAAGGACTGCAATGCATTTTAAGCATTGTGGAGATTTCAGTGTGTGTTTGGGACCTTTTTGTGGTGCGTGGAAGACTCGAGGGTGCTGTCGTAGTCGTGGTGCAGCTCGGCGCAGGAGTCGTCTTGCACCTCCTGCAGGCTGTTGACGCTGCTGCTCTGACTGCCCGTGCTCACGGAGGTGCTGGGGATGGAGTGATTACTGCCCAAACTGTTCATCTTACAGCCTGCCTGATCTCCATCCTGTGCAAGAGACAGAGAAACTGATCATCCTTACTGAAAACCCCTATTTATTTCAATTACTGACAGCACTTTGCACATCTCACTGCAAGGACATGGCAACATTCACTCAACACGAGACACATTCACACCATTACTGAAAGTCACTTAATAGTTCAATGTTGTTCAAAATAGTGTATAGTCCCACCTTTAGTGTAGTGCAAGAAAATATATAATTCCACGTACAGTCTGCAGTATATACTTCCGTAAAATATATAGTTCAGTTAAAGTCAGTAATATACATTTCTGTATATTATAGTATCAAATTTACACTTTAGTATATCTTCACTACAGTTCAGTAGGTTATTGCATTTTTGCATTTAGCAGAAGTTTTCATCCTAAGCAACTAAGAGAGAGTATAGTTATATCTGATGTCTATTTCAATATATTATATAGTATCAAAAGTTCAGAGTTGGTAAGATCTTTTTTTTTTTAATGATGTATTGTTTTTGAAAGAAGCCTCTATTATACGCCCAAAAGCTGCATTTATTTGTTAAAATATAGTAAAAACAGTGATTTTGTGAAATACGGTTACAATGTAAATGAATTACTTTAATATATTTTAAAATGTGATTTAATCCTGTGAACGCAAAGCTGAATTTTCAGCAGTCATTTTGTTCCAGGATTTTTTAAGGAATAGAATTAAAAAGAATTTGAGATAGATTTTTTATTTATTTTTTTAAATGCAAACATCTTTACTTTCACTTCTGATTAATTTAATGCATCCTTGCTGAATAAAAGTATTATATTCTTTCAAAAAAATAAATAAAAAAAACTTACTGACCTTTGAACAATAGTATATTTTAGTAAAGTACATAAAGCTACAAATATACAGAAAACATCCGTAACTCTTTATCATATACTGTGGTTGTGTATAGTATAGTACAGTCTAGTATGTATCATATGCCCTCAGTTTAGTACGATATACTGTAGTTGACACTGACAATTCAGTATAGTACTATATGTGACCCTGCAGCACAAAAGCAGTGTTAAGTCGCTGGGGTATATTTGTAGCAATAGCCAACAATACATTGTATGGGTCACAATTATACATTTCTCTTTTATGCCAAAAATCATTAGGATATTAAGTAAAGATCATGTTCCATGAAGATATTTTGTACCTTTCCTACTGTAAATATATCAAAACTTAATGTTTGATTAGTAATATGCATTGCTAAGAACTTCATTTGAACAACTTTAAAGATGATTTTCTCAATATTTAGATTTTTTTGCACCCTCAGATTCCAGATTTTCAAATAGTTGTATCTCAGCCAAATATTGTCCTCCTATCCTAACAAACCATACGTCAATAGAAAGCTTATTTATTCAGCTTTCGGATGATGCATACATCTCAATTTTAAAAATTGACACTTATGATCCAGGGTCACATATACTTTTAAGTTAATTATTTATAATGTAGTCAAGTTTAGTTTATTACCCTTAAGTCTAATTGTGGCCCTTTTCATCCATTAAACAAACAGACTGACACTAAATCCATCTGTAGTCTCAGTTTTTTCTATGAAAACTCAAAACTGATGTTAACAAAGCGTCGGCGGCAAACACGTAAAGGACATTTTTAACCAAGAGAAACCAGTGGCTGCCAAATCTGCTGTGTACAACACGTAGCCACATGCAACAACAGGAAGCACGCTAACCACTGAGAAACTCACACAGGCAAGTATGAAGTCAACATGTGTGTATGACACTCAAGGGGGCCTTTCGCTTCTCAGAGTCTTTCCTGTACCCACCTCCTCCTCTTCCTGAGACTCCCCCATTGGGCCGTTGTGTTTCTCTTGGTAGAGGATTTTTTTCATTTTACGGTACTGCAGGTTGTCCAGCTCTCTGACTGCATCCTTCGTCCTCTGGATCAGATCGATGAGGACCCGTGGAGGACGCTCTCTCCTCACGAACTCATGCTGGGACGGACAAAGAGGGACATAGAGGGCATTTGTGAAATGTGACCCTGGAGCACAAAAGCAGTGTTAAGTCACTGGGGTATATTTGTAGCAATAGCCAACAATACATTGTATGGGTCAAAATTATAGATTTTTCTTTTATGCCAAAAATCATTAGAATATTAAGTAAAGATCATGTTCCATGAAGATATTTTGTAAATTTCCTACCATAAATGTATCAAAACTTCATTTTTGATTAGTAATATGCATTGCTAAGAACTTAATTTGAACAACTTTAAAGATGATTTTCTCAATATTTAGTTTTTTTTGCACCCTCAGATTCCAGATTTTCAAATAGCTGTATCTCTGCCAAATATTGTCCTCCTATCCTAACAAACCATGCATCCATGGAAAGCTTATTTATTCAGCTTATGTATAAATCTCAATTTTGAAAAACTGACCCTTATGACTGGTTTTGTGGTCCAGAGTCACAAATGTGTTTTTGCAATTATACCCATGCTAAGGCAAATAAAGTGGTGATCAAATGTATAAACACAGCTTCTGTGCATAACCCTCAGATTCTGGGTTTTATTCAATTTATGAGTGGATCGCTTAGAGGAAAGTGTGTTTTTATTTGGCCCCGTGTTCACCTGAAAACCACAAAAATTGCATTCATTTCATAAAAGCATATATTTCAGGAGAAGCATTTGGGGGTTAAGCATGATGCAATTCAACTGCCACAAAATAAACCCACGTCTCAATCCTCTCAGCATGCCGGATTACTCCGCTTGTGCTCCTAATTACGTCATTTCGTCTTTGTCCTTTGCTCACTAGAGGGTGCTCGTGTAATGTGGCCTCGAGTGGACACATGCCATATGGAGGAGGGTTTCTGACATGGCTGGCTAAATGTGGACTTGATCTCACCTCCTCAATGGAAATAAAAAGCGAATCGACTCGAGAGTTCAAGTGGCTGCATGTGTGCATCTTAACTGGGCCCGCAAAACCACAAACCATGAGTCTTTGTGAACTAATTGGGTGTATGCAGTTTTTCCATTACTCAACTGGGCCAACTGGAGTCATTTATTCATTTATTTATTTGGGAGAAGATGGTTAGGAGCACAATCCAAAATCCAAATCAATTCCCGTCCCATTCCTCGAAACAGTCGCTCTTGAACGTTTACCGTAAATCCTCCAACTTTATTTATAAAGCACCTAATAAAGCAACTAAGTTTACCAAAGTGCTGTACAGTAACTTCAATTAAAAGAATATAATAGCAAATAATAACCAAAAAAAAAAAACCCCACATCAATACACAACATACAAGACAGACCCAAAAGGGTAACTACAGTGACAATACCTCAGCACTCATCCCTGATCAAAGGCTAATGAAAAAACATATGTTTTTAACTGCTTCTTAGATTCATTCAAAGATGATAATTGTCGCAAAGACACTAGCAAACTGTTCCAAAGCCTTGGGGCAGCTACCGCAAATGCGTGGTCACCTCTGAACTTTAATTTTGATCAAGGAACATGTAGGAGATTTTGTCCATTAGATCGTAATGATCTATATGGGCTATACCATGCAGGGATTTAAAAACAAAAATGTAAATATTAAAATTAATTCTATAAGGTACTGGTAACCAATGCAATGATCTCAAAACAGGGGTAATGTGGTCATACTTCCGAGTACCTGTCAGTAGTCTTGCGGCTGAATTTTGAACCATTTGTAATCTGTCCAAATGTTTTGTTTGAGTACCGTAATAAAGTGAGTTGCAATAATCTAATCGAGAAAAAATAAAAACATGTATAAGCTTCTCCAAGTCTATACGTGCTAAGAAAGGCTTGATCTTTCTAATCATTCTTAATTGGTAGAAGCTAGCTTTGACAACTTCACTTATTTGAGAGTTAAATTTTAAAGCCCTGTCACAGATCACACCCACATTTTTTACTGGATGTTTCCTAAAAGGGCTTAATGTTCCCAAGTTAACTCCAGCCATATCGCTCATTTCAGAGGGACCAAATATAGTGACCTCTGTTTTCGATTCATTAAGACTCAAAAAGTTAGCAGACATCCAAGACTTCACCTCATCTACACAGGCCAACAAACGCCCCAAGGCACTGGAAGAATTTGGGTTAAAAGACAAATACAACTGAGTGTCATCCGAGTAAGAATGAAACGACACACCATATTTATCCAAAATCAATCCTAATGGTAGCATATACAGAGAAAAGAAAAAAAGGTGCTAAAACAGAGCCTTGCGGGACACCACAAGAAATGGGTGCCAATGCTGATACAAACTCTCCCATGCGGACCGAAACCTATTTTGAAAATATGACTATCCATCTTAAGGCATTTCCACAGATGTTTCAAGACGAGATATAAGTATTTGATTGTCAATCGTATCAAACGCTGCCGTCAGATCTAAAAGTAAAAGTACAGTAAAATTTCTGAGATCAGTCGCAAGAAAAATATCATTATAAACTCTCAGCAAAGCTGATTCAGTGCTGTGATGTTTTTTAAAACCTGACTGAAGAACGCTCTTCTCCATAATTTTAGCCAAGAACGGAAGTTTTGAGATTGGTCTAAAATTAGCTAACACACTCTTATCCAAATTTTATTTCTTCAAAAGGGGTTGGACCACTGCATGCTTGCAGTAGTCAGGCACGACCCCCGAAGACAAACTCTTATTAATTATAGACACTATAAAAGGGCCAACTGAATTTAAAACTTGCTTTAACAAATGGGTCTGAACAATATCTTGAGGAGAAGTTGTAGACTTTAGTCTGAGTATAATATCCTCAAGGACTGAAAGAGAAATTGGCTCAAAATCGGAGAAAGTAACACCAGATACCGATTGCTGAATGACATAAGAACAATTACTAATGTTATTATGTACATCTGATGTTCGATTTATGAAAAGAAAAAAAAAAAGAATTGCATAAATCAGCAGACCGGTCTCCTACCACCTCTAATCTAGGATTAATAATGGAATCTATCGTAGAAAATAGAAGCCTAGGATTATGACAATTTTTCTCAATAAGATCTGCAAAGTACCTCGATCTAGCCTTTCTTACAGCCCTTTGAAATTTAGACCGAATCTCTAAGCATTTCATAAGAAATTTGTAATTTATCTTTTTCCCATCTTCTACAAATCCTCCTTCTGAGACTCTTCGCAGCAACTTTTCCTCTAAACCATGCATCATGAAGATCTTCTTTTATGCACTTACTTTAAAAGTATGTTTGAGAACATATATTTTGCTCTAAAGCAATAACCTTTCTTATTGGACTGCTTGAGGCGGACTGGTTAATTCTAAACAGTTAACTGCACTAGCTCCTCTTTGAAGTGGACTGGTTCCCTATTTTTGTTTGGCTTTGTTGACATTAACATTATCTTTCATTTGACAACATATCATTTACTCCAAAGAACAAACCATTCTTGTACACTGCCATTTGATCATTTGGGTGTGATAAAGATTTTTAAGAAATTAATACTTTTATTAAACAAGTGTGCATTAAATGGATCAAAAGTGACATTCAAAATACTAGAAAATATTCTATTTTAAATAAATGCAGTTTGTTTGAATTTTCTATTTATCAAACATTCCTGTTTCCCAGTTTCCACTGTGAAATATTAAGCAGCACAAAAGTTTTCAACATTGATAATAATCAGAAATGTTTCTCGAGCACTAAATCAGCATGTTAGTATGATTTCTGAAGGATCGTGTGACACTGAAAATTCAGCTTTGCCATCATAGGAATAAATTATATTTTAAAATATATTAAAAAAGAAAACAGCTATTTTAATTTGTAATAACATTTCACATTATTACTTTTTTTTTTACTGTATTTTTGACCAAATAAATGCAGCCTTGGTGAGCATACGAGATATCTTACTAGGGCTGCACGATTTGGGGGAAAAAATCTAATTGTGATTTTTCTGTTAAAATTGCGTTTTAAATGCGATTTTTAAAACAAATTAATAAAAAATAACAGTATAATAATTAGATAAAAATTAATGAAAAGATAAACAACAATACTAATTTTATTTTACAGAAAAATAGGTTACTTGCTAACATACAGGCCTATAACTGTACATCATATGATACTGTTATGATAAAAATCTTTGACAGTAAATTCCTAATTTTTATCAGGAGGTGTTTAAAATCAAAAATGGATTCCATGTCTTTAACATGAAATATGAGCTGTATATACATCCACTGTGGGGAAAGAAAAAAGAAAAAAACATGGATTATCATATGTCATAATTATTATTTTTCCTATTTATGGCCTATTTATAGGACTGAGTGCGCATTACTGAGTGCTAAACACATGTAAAGTCCGTTTCATTCAAACTGGACGCCAGAGGGCGCCCTCACATAGAAACTCCACAAATGCATCACAGAAGTAATAGAACTCATGACGTTCCAGGAAATCCCTAATATGGGCAAAGGTATCTAGCTATGCTGTGACTGAATTAAAAGCAGCTAGAAACGTATTTTCATAATAAAGCCCATTTATAATGCAATGCTAATCGACATAGCCTTTATTGCAGTATAGAATACATATTTATTCTGTAATAAGAAGCCACATCAGATCAGAAAATGAAGTTGTCTTAAAACACTCGACTGATGTTTTGGAGTAAAATTATGTTATAATGTTCTCATTAAGTTTGAGAGGATGTTTGGTGTGTGTTGCTTAATCAGATGCACGTTATAAACTCACAGCGCATTGCAGAGATGAGCAGCATTTACTACTGGCGCCGTGCATATATTTGTTTCATTAAAAATCGCAGTCTTTGCGATTCAATAATCGCATCAAGCCAAATCGCGATTTCGGTTGGATTTCGATTAATCGTTCGGCTCTATATCTTACCAACTCCAAACTTGCGAGCAATGATGCAAACTTGTTCAAGGTGGACTAGTTCATTCTAAATGTTCGTTAAAAGTCAACAAAACCT